AAAACAAAAAAAAAATGGGGGGGGGGGGGGAAACATGCCACTTGGACCTCTACAAGTAGGTCCAAGTCAGCAAACAGAAGCTTCAAGTCATCAAACAGAACTAGAGAAAAGACTGTACTGGCTTCTAGCTACTGCTTCTTTGAGAAGGGATGACTATCCAAACTGCCTATACACTGCGTGAGGATGACGGAAAAGAAAAGGAGGGGGATGAAGTGAGGGAGGAGAGACGGAAAAAATAATATTAAAAAAAATTACACACACAGGAGTCCTTTAAAACTCAGTACAGAAAGACCTGCCCCTGAACATCTAACTACAGCTGAAGCATTAATTTCTATAAATGAAAAAAGTGTATCCAAGCAAAATCTTTTAGAAAGTTATAAACTGCTGCCTGACCAGATGCTAAGAATGCCAGTCAAGCTATCCTGTGCAACCCTGTACAGTCACTGTCAGCCACCAAAGGAAGTACACTGGTGAAACACCATCAGCACCATAAGATACAGCAAAACAGCAGGAGTTCAGTTCAAAAACACATCAACTAAAATGCTGATAGTCTAAGTAGTTATACTTACTTCTAAAGTTAAAGGTGTATCAGCCTGTAAAGCTCCCAGACTTGCTCCTGGGTAGTACGGGACCATTAAATATACCAAAGGATCAGACTTCAACAACAAAAAAAGAAAAATAGACTGTTTCAAATATCAGGAGTATTGGAATTTTAACATGCATTAGATGTGTGATAAATCAATTCATTATCCTAAGCAGACAGTTTATCTAAACTCAGAAATGAACTATTTTTCTCATTCAATACTCCAATTTAAAATATGTTAACACTTTAAGGTCCAACTGCAAGTTTTTCAGCTTAAACCAGAAATCAAGGTCACCTTAAACCAGAAATCAAGGTCATCAATTTGAATCTTGCCTTGCAGAAAAGAAGGAAGAACAGTTGTAATAATCCAGATCTTTCCTTCTGTTGATCCCAAGCTCTGTGATACTTGGCAACTCTTTCTATCACTTTGGCTTCTGAGCTTACATCTACAGAGTAGCCCTTAAAAACAAAACAGATACCCAACCTATTACTCCTAATGCCTGTAACATTATAGCATCAAACTTTTTTTAATTAAAGGAATGCATATTGTTAGGTGCCATCAAATAACTTCCTCTTCTGCTTAACACAAAACTCAATTCCAACTGTCACAGATTGTTCCCATATTTTCTTATTAACTCTTAGAAAGTTTGTACCAACAAAACAGAGAGCATGTCTTTAATGTGAGATTTAAATAAGCCAAGTCAAAACCAAGAAGAGTATTTACAACTATGCCTCTCATAATACTACATCCCCTCATTTCCCAGTTGCTAGCAGATTGGTAGAGAAGCAAAGCAAGGGAAAAGAAGCAGTTTCTGAAATGTCTCAGTGAAACCATCAGGAAGACAAACCAGCATCTGCAAAAAGAGACAGGATTAATGAGCACGGTAAAAGGTCCACCAGATGCCAGAAAGGACAGACGGTAGAGGGGAAGCACTGTTCGTTACAGCAGTCCTCAAAAGAAGCTGGGGGGAGGGGGAATTCAGTAAGCAACATGGAAGCAATCGAAGGAAAACAATGCTTCATGTTCTACAGGCCCCAACAAAAAAAACTGCCATCAGAAAAGAGCTGTTAAACACAGGGATATGAAAGGAACAGCAAAGTTCACTAAGAATCAGCACGTTAATAAGCCAAGGCCTCACCTACAACACTAACTTGAAAGCCAGTGCCAACATTACCTTTAAAAGAACCTTCTGGCCCTGAATTTCCGAACACACTAAAGGTCGCTTCGTGCTCAGTTCCTTCATGGGCTCAGCATCCAAAAGGTCTCGCTCCAGGCTGTATGTCAGAAGTCCGCCGGAGTTCTGAAGCACATGCACACACAGATATCCAGGGTAAGCGCATGGCATTTAACAGCTGCTAAGATTCAGAGGCTTTGACTCCCTCTCCTCAATCAACTTAGCAGAGCACAAAATCAGCTGGGACATGTTAAAAAGTTAACAGCATCTGTTACGAAGAGGCTGGCCATGATGAGGCAGCTAATGAAATGCATTCCTTGAACATCTCCCAGAGAGGGGGAGAAGGAGGAAGACCACAACAAACAATGCTCAGCGTGTGTGTCCCCCAAATAGACACAAACTGTGCAGAGCATTGTTGGTGCAGTCCTGATAGTGCCTGAAACAATTAACTGGCAGTGCATTCAAACACAATCTCTGCTTACCATAAAGTTTAGAATTCCTGCTTCTGGATAAAGAAGCGGTAATTCAGGGAACCATTTCTGTACCAAATATGTAAGCTTCTCCTAAATGAGGAAACAAGGCCCAAAGTTTCAGGTCACTGGTTTCTGACATATATAAATATACACTGACATTAGCAATGTATACCCAGGACATTCAAATGTAGGTTGACCATGACTGCATCTCCTTCAACAACAGCATTCAAAGTAACACTGCCATTTGCTTTAAAACAAACAAACAAACAAAAACCCCCAAAACCACATCACCCAAACAAACACCACCCCCACCCCACCCCCCCCGAAAAAAAAAGAAAACCCAAACGAAAACCAACACACACAACATGAACACAGCAGTTCAATATGGACAGATTTTTTAAATCTGAGGGTGGGTAGTGTTAAGACTCCAAACAGCTCATGCACTATCACAGAAAATATTTCATCTTTTCTACAAGAGGCATTAGTAGACATAAACAAAGGAAAACTACTTCACTACGCATAAGTGGAAGAAAGAAATCAAGTAGTAGCACAGACCAGGCCAGCATCTCATGTACCTCCTACGCAGCTGTAATGCTGCAAGGTAACTGTTACACACAAGTGCTACATCTACAGAGGTAGGTATATCACCACAAATTCTGGTGCCCTTCTACTTACTCACAAGGCAATGGTTTCTGATTCTTCCCTCCACATACACAACAAAGAAAGGGTGATCTCCTTCACTTCAGGATAAAAGCCTGCTTTAACCTAATCATAAGGAAACAGTTCCCTTCTTGCAAGAAATACACTCTTTTTTCAGCAACTGAGCTTATGCTTTCACCTGCAGCTCTCCTGGGTTGAGAGCTACAGCTCACATTTTTTTCTCACCTCACCCCCTTATGGAGGGGGGAAGGGGGGGAAGGCCTGAAGAAACTATGTTCAAATAGGGATAAAACTGATCACCCTCCATGCTTTCTCCCATAGGTTTCACCAAAAAAGGACCATCTTAATATTCAACACTATAAAAATCACATTTTGTATTTTACCCAGAGCACACATTAAAGCAACTGAAACGCAGAGGTGCCTCATACAGGTTTGTTTTAGTTGCCTAAGTAGTTTAATACTTACATATTCTTCTTGTTCCTTGGATATTCCCTGAAGAACCCTATTTCGCAGATCAGCAATTTCCTCTTTTATTCTTGTCATTTCGAACTCACTGTAATCATCAGACTGCATTAGGAATAACAAAGTTAACATATAATTCTCATTCTGCTATTATACCAAACAATGGTAACCTACTATATCAGGATTAAAAAACAACTTCGATATCACAGTTCCAGAGTTGAACATATTCTCAAATGCATATTGTACTCAGTCTCCTTCCTGGAAACACAACAGAATCTCTTAAAATCTAATCACGGAGAAAGTTGTTCTCTTTATTTATGTGACAGACCAAATATTCTAGCCCTATGCCTACTTGTTTCCTAAGTCAAAGAGCTTTTTTTTTAATTAGTTGATCACATATAATCATAACAGCAACATAATTCATCTACCAGCAATGCCAGTTCCATAATTCATTCACTTTTTTCTCCCATAAGCAGGAATTCTCCTCATGTCACCTCATTATTCAAGAACACTTTTCCCAATGGGTTTCATTAGCGTGTCTCATTTTAAATCTCTCTTGGAAGCTTACTGCCCCTGTACAATGCTTACAGAGAGACACATGCAGGTTCTTTTTTTTCCTTAAGCATCATCAGATTAATTAATGTACAATCAAACAAACAGCACTGAAGCTGGGGTAGTATTTACATTCTTTGGACTTCTCTGAAGGGAACAGACATTGACTTCTGTCACCAAAGGAAAGGTACACCATTAAAGTAAAAACTTAAGGTAATCACACAACCAGCCCTGTAAAAATAGCTGGACAAAACTGCTCATGCTGTGAACAGAAACCGTCACCAGAGGGACTTAGTTAAAAGCACAGTGCCATGGCTGGGGACTGAAACAGAAAAGTGGCTATGTACTGACTTTTTTTTTTTTTTTTAAACCATTCAGGCTTGGTCTCAGGGGCCTCCAAAACTTCCACAGTTAAAGGCAAAATTCAGGTCAGAAAACACAAACTGTTCTATATAGTTACTACTTACTTAGAATAACCAGAATTAAGATTTCTAAACCAATTGAAAAAAATAACTGACAAAAACACCAACACTGTAACATTTTCATACTTCCTCAAAGTTGTTCTTTTCAACCAGCTTCCACCTTAACTGGGCCTTTAAGCTTTTCACAGTTTTCTTAATTAACAATAAGTTGTTAATATCAGGTCTTCTATTGAGCCATTCCTCAGCCTGTTTCTTGAACTAGGACAAAAAGGAAAAAAAAAAACCAAAAAACCAAAAACCATCAGAATGTGTTCAAGCGTTCTATTTTAATATACTTTAGTCCAATGCAGTAGAGAAACTGCCTGAAGCCTATTTGAATTCAGCTTTTCAGGGTCTTTCCCCACAGAAGAGGGGTTTTATTGTGTTTCATTTTAATTACTTTAACAACCTTCTGGAAAAACAACATCCTGCTTAAAGCTCAATCCCCTTAGGTTACATACTACTGATTTGTAATGAATCCAGAGATTCCAGCTTCCACAACTTTATTTTTTAAAAAACTATCTTTGTATTTAAATGAAATGAAGCATTGGCTGAGGTAATGCACAACTGCAATTCTTAAGGCTTAACCCAACCAATCTCTCATCACCAATATACTCCTAGAATTTCCTTATAAAAAGAGGACATCTTTCAAAAAGAAATTATGTCAGAAAAGATTACTAGTATAGATCAGAGTGACAGAAATAAATAAGGCATAAACTCACCTCAACACTGGCCAAGTATCTGTTCTTTATGACAGTGATCATACTTTGCTCCTGACAAACTTTATGTATAACTTTATTGTAAGCACTCATAATTATTCCCTTCTCTGTTTCATCATACTCCTGGATTGAATTACACAGAGGGAGATTAAAGATTGAGAGTTCTTCACTTATGCACACCAATGTTTAAGATCTAAAACCTTCACTAAAAAATTCCATTGTTAATGGCAAAAATAATTTATCAGATTTTTCTCTCTCTTCTTAAAGAGATTCTAAAAGGGAAGTTAGCAAGTCTAACAGTTCATCCAACAGTTTCAACAGAATAAAACTGATTAGCACTTCTATGCAGAAGTCCAATTTCATATTCCACATGCTATGAAAGCATTTTTTTTTTTTTTTTTTTTAAGAATAGCACAGTCAAATAGATATGAGGCATTAAAGCATGCAACCATTCTTCTAAATGAGTCACTGGTTCTATCACAGAGAGCAGTCACAAGCACACTAAACTACTGGTTTGTTGTTAGTATGATGCTGTATCAAAGAACAGGTTCAACTTCTGCTGACATGACCATCCTCTGGCACAGTAGGGACTCTCATTGTAGAGACAATGCAAGTACCTCAGAGTTAGCAAAAGAGAATGGAGGAAATGCTTATCAGAAAAGGTAAATAACTGGGAAAAAGGCTAACACAAGCATAGAAGAAGATTACCAGTAAGGCAAGAACACTTGTCCTATGGAAAATGAAAGTGATTAAAAACTAATAATCTCTTAAGACTGAAAAAAGTAAATTTATCCATACACATTCACGCCAAGAGGCAATCCCATTATTTTAAACATAAACTTACTTTTCATCACCTGTATTTTCAACACAAGCACCAAAACTCAGTACAGCTCAAAGAAAGCTTCTCTGCACATAATGGGGGAAGAACCAGTTTTCCCAGTATTTCTGTTAAGCTAGTCATACATAAGCTAAGTTCCGGTAACCCAAAGCTGTCCTCTGCCTGTTACCTGGAAAACACGTTCTTTTCTCTCTGGAAAGCAACCTGAGTGACTTTCTACCACATCTCCACAAAAAAAGATGCTGCCCTGTAGCAAATAAACTCATCCGATACATTAAGAAAAGCTTTAAACTGAAATCAAAGATGTATAAAATATATAGAAGACATGACACAGTAGGCATGAGTAGAACTTACATGTAAGTCAGTATCCAGTTCTTCACAAATAGCCAACTCAACCTTTTTGAGAATTTCATCCAGATTGCCAACCACTTCCTCTAAATCTGAAGATGCTTCTGACATCAGGTCAAAACCCTTCAAAGAGGGACGAGAGGGTGAAAAAAAAAAAGAAAAAAAAAAGTCAGCCTTGCAATCGAAAGTAAGAAGTTAGCAAGCAGACAGCAAAAAAAAGCAAGAAATACAAAGAGTTAGCACTACTGGAAACCTAATCAGGATTTGTGTCATATCTCACCTTTAACTGCCTCACACTTCAGTGATATAATGACTTCTATAACTAAGATTCACCAGGCAAGAAGAAAGTTGATTCTTACCTTAATCGCGTTTCATTTTCCTAATCTCATTTTGATTTTTTACCAAAAATGGAACAGTTGAAGAATCCCAATCCTTCTCCTATTGAGTTTCATGTCAAAAATCAACATGTGTGCTGCCCACACAGTGATACACAAGACGCTCAATATGGCACTTTCACTGTCACGTGGGCTTTCCATTCCTATACAGTACTACCTGAGATAAAGAAACATCCTGGAATCTATTTCGCAGTTTATCAAGTGTGAAATAAGGTTAAAGATTTCTCCAGGAAACACTATGTGTTTTCAGAGAAGTCAAGAATAAATTAGCTTCAAGATAGAAGATACAGAAGGTGCCAGAGAAAAATCAGTAGGATAAGCTTATAATTACATTGAATGTTGTTTTCAGCAAAGTTTTATTACTCATATCTGCAGAAGAGATATTACACTGGCAACCAGAACTACAATGAAAATATGGTCCTGTATTTAACATGCACAATACGCAGTCATAATAGAAACCTGCAAGCTCCACCTTGTTCACTTACCTATCAAGCATGTGTATTCCACTAAAGACTGTGAAAATATTTTATTGCCTTAACCTTAAAGGAACTAAAATAAAAACATTAACAGTGCAAGTTCAAACAGTATGTTGCTCCCCAAAGCCTGGAGTTGCATACTGGAAAGGAGCCATCCAGTCTCCGAAAATTTCCTAGTCTGTCATTGACCCATCTCCTATTGTAGATTCTGATTGATGCTACATGAGATTAATTTGGATTCAGAAAGAGAGGAAGAGCAGTATCTATTTAAAATAAAGGGAAGGGAAACACTTCAAAGAAGCATTTCCTCTACACGATTGCTCACACTTTTTCTTAAAAAAGGAGGTGGAAGTTAAATTGCAACAGAATAATTGCTTATCAAAAGCTGAAATGGTTAGATTATGGATAAGTGAAAATTTCTTCCTTGGTCTACCCAGCAGCACTTTACCAACCCATGCCAAAAGTCTGTACATTTCCTGTGTCTCTGAAATGTTTGCAGAAAAGTTCAGTTTTGAAACAGGTAAACCAAAGTTCATCACTACACTAACAAACTTTAGTCACTTTCATACATGCAGAACAGCACTCTGAATTGCACCCAGCAATCACAGAAACCCACCTGCCAGTTTGTTTGCCCCCTCTAATAACTGACATGATTATAAACATCTGCAAGTAATTATACTCATTAACATTATACTGCACATGACATGCACCAAGTCTACACCACTGCTGAACAGCATTTACCATCAGGTCAAGGAACACTGTTACTCATAACAGCATCTGGCCACAGTAAATGCTCTCGTTACAATGAAATGCAAGGGCAGAAAACCTATTCACTATGAAAGTGCACGGCCCTTGTGGATTACGTACAATTCACATGGGCAGGAAGGTTATGCTGACACAAACTGAAAACATTTACACACAAGTGCAACAAGATGAAGGAAGCTGGGCCTACAGGAATGGAGAGGGAGCAGCTTACAGTCTTTCCAGAAAGATTAAGAATCCTAAACTGAGCAAGAACATAGATATTAAGCACAGAGTCAGGAAAGCTGCAAAGTTACCTCCCTACTTTGCACTTTCACTACAAGCAGAACTCAATGGATGGTAACCCACTTTCACCATCCATCTCCTTTTAAGACAAATAACACACACTCAACTTCAGTGCTCCAAACCTCCTACAACTCAGACAAAGACAGAGCATCAGAATGGTATTCCAGAAAATATTGTAGGACATGCAAATAGAAGTGGACAATTTATTTGCATAAACTCTCCAAATTCAGCATTCCAATGAGGGGAAAAAAAACCCCAAACGCTATTATATATTTGTCTGCAACTTGTACCTAGATCATGTCCAGTCAGATTGGCTTATTCTTTGCAGTGATCTTTCATCACCTCTGTCAGCAGCATTTATGAACTAGAACCTTTTAAAATCTGAAGTCCTTCTATCCAAAGGCCACTTCAAAGGACTAATTGAAGCATTTCAGTCACAAAATGAACAGGCAGAGCACACCCATACAAAAGTTATACTTGCATAAAAGTACTGATCTTTACACAAAAGATGTCCTTTCACAAGAAAGCATAAACTCTGGCTCACCACAAAGGTACACTAAGAATACAGGTAAATTAACATTCCTCAACACATTACCTTTCCCTCTGTATTGAGGCACTGTCATTTAGAGCCACTGTTAATAGGCACAATCTCCCTGCCATAGCTAGTTGTTCCTACTAATGCCTACTCCTCACGAGCTTGGTTAGACAGTGTCATACTTCATCTTTTTCACCAACAGGAAAAATTGACTGTTCACCTTACCTTTACAATGCCACTGAACCAGTCAGCAAGAATTTGCAGAGCTGTGTCCGTATCATTTCTGACACAAATTAACTTCTTCATTTTAACATTCTTCCACTTAAAGAACTGTTGAAATATCTCCTCAGAGTCATCTGCTTCAGAACCTTGACCATACACCATCTCCAGCGAAGCAGACAGTTCCTGTGCATTGAGTGAATCAAACAAAACCAGGTTTGCAATCCTGAAGAATTTTGTGACCATATAATATCTATAAGAATCAAGATATTTAACACAGAAAAAGTTAGCACTACCTGCTGTCATGAAATTATTTCTACTATGAAAGCCTCTTTCCATATCCAGTAAAGTATATTTTATATCCACTTTCCTCTCAGATCTAGTGGCAGTATGTCTACCAGAAAATGCAATGCAGAAAAGGATCTCACACAGAGATAATAGTGTCTGATTTTTCCCTTCAAAATATGGAAGGAAAAGACACTGCAAAAAGCTTAACAGCTCCTAAGAAGTCATTTGTATTCTAGTTTCTTCTTCCCTACAGATTGGACTTTAAAGTCATACTTATCAGAATAAAGAGCAAAACAGTGTTCAATTTATAATGCTCCTCATAGGATTGCTCAAATTCAGAAAACAAAGTGAACTTGTACTAGGAAACAAGGTGAGCAGCCAGACGCCCAAGGAATGCTTCTGGACTGATCCCTCCCTTCAAAATTCACTAGTCAAAGCTCTTCTGATGCACCTTTGTCATCACACTGATGCCCAGATGGAACAGCAATTACCTACATGCCTGATACCTGAAGGCCCTCTGAAACGAGTTTTACAGTCTAGAAACTTCTATTTCTATCTAAAAGCCAAGTATCCTGCAAGTATATGAAGCATATGGTCTACCTCCTTTTGACTTGTATTGGAAAAGAAACTGAAGTGCTGCACATAAGGGAAAGGCATTGAGACTAAAGCTCAGGGCAAGCAGAAATGACTTTTAAACAAAGGGCAGTCTGTCAAATGACCTGAAGAACAAGCAGGGAGGAATGTATCAGTCAAGTACCAGTAGAGACAACATCCTGACAGAAAGCAGACTTCCTTGCACCTGGGTAGAAAGTCCCATGATGAAAAATACTTGAGAGCTACATTGGTGCTTGCAGGCAATTTGCTGTAGTTCAAAAGAGAAAATTCTCCCTGAACAGTGGGATTTGACTGGATAAACCTGTGCTTTTGTAATAAATAGCATCCTTCAGCTCTCAAAATCCATCATTTTACTTACCCACATCATTCCTGACAAGATCACTAACGAAACCCCGAGAAAGGCTGCTGACAGTTTGCTTATACACAGTGTTTCACTTTTTTTCTTTTGTCAGATCCCAGAACATTTGAGTTAAATATCACAGACCTTCCCAAACAACACCTAGGTCACATAGATGAAGAAAAACACCAAAACACCTCTCTCTCCTCCTCTCGAGAGAGGTTTTCATCTTTGCATCCCTTCAGATGCAACAGCCAATACCATGAAAAAAGCAATATGACAGAACTTAAAGTCACTTGTCAGGAGGCAGCAGCAATGGCCTCCCCTTGCCAAGGGCTGCCAGGTAGTGCAGAGGTGAAGAAGTGAGCTTGACCAATTTTGTAGAACTATACATGATGATGCCACAACCAGGCCCCAGCTCTACAGACACAGCACAGCAAAAGTTCAGATTGGGGCCAAAAGCATAACAATTTCCTCACATTATAACCAACTACAGTGACACACACACACACCCCCACACACAAAAAACTCCACCAACCCAAAACAAACAACAACAACAAAATCGACCAAACAGTACCTTATGAAAATTGTAAAACCACTTTGATAACAATTGTTACTACAATGAACAGCATTCATTCAGTACAACAGATTGTTTAAAACAGCAATTTCCAACAGAGCCAAGTGACATGAGCTTTGTACAAATATGCTTGTCTATAAGTAAATACAAGAAGGAAGTTCGTGCTAAATTTATGGACGCTATTTAAATCACTCAAGTGCACAACAGATTTTTCTTGTATTCTTTTTTAAACAGCTGGAACTTAACACACCAGGATACACATGGATAGAAAATAGCATGGCAAGGCTTTGAAGCCAAGTTCAAATGCAACAGTCTGAAGGAGGAAGAAAAAAAATCATCCCATTTAACAGCAGCCAGAAGTGGGTAATAGCGCTGAGGAAAGTGCTCAGTAACAGTTTCATATCCAGTATCACACTCTGTTTACAAAAATAATAGCACTAGTCACACCAGAAGAGTATCTGCATGCATTCCATCAGGCTGTCCTCAAGGAAAGAATCCTGTAAGTTACATCCTATTTCTTCCCATTTCTTTTTCATAATACAAACACACTTCCCTAAAACATTAACAACTTCACCAGCATATGGATATAGAAGCAGGCTCCAGAAGGATAACAAGTTGCCATATGAAGACAGCTCAGTGGTATACAAGAACTTGTCCCAGTTGCGATCTCTAAGCACCATAATTCAAAGGGAGCAGAACAAGCTACTACACACTATCCATGGGGCAAAGGAAACATGCTTTACAGACAGCTAGCACAGAACAGCTGACCAACTCTTCAGCTCACACCCTAGCTTTCTTTAGAGTAACTTATGTGTATGCCCACACTCTCAGCTTCCCTCTTCACCAATGCAGCATTATCACTTGGAAAGCATAGAGCTCACTGTTTATTTCGGTCCTAGCCAGTTGGACCAACTGCAGCTGAAGCTGTTTGAATCTGTCTGTAGTTGAGGCCAACAACAATTCTCACCAGAAGGTATAAAACATAAGCCAGAAGAGATGTATGATGCAGAAGAGAGGTTTGCAATACACAGCCTCAGTGAGAGGGGCATTAGCTCCCAAGCTCCTGTTCTGAGAGACAGTGGAAAAATACTTGTTCTCTAGGACAGTACAGCATGACCTCTTCAGCTCTTTAAAACTGCAACCAAGGTTCTCGCTGATACGTGGTAAAAACTTATTTCTGTTTCCCTGCTTGGGAAAACTGTTTCAATCTTCTAGTTCCTAATACAAGAGAGGACCATCACCACAGTTAAGCTAAAGCCCAAAATTCACTTAACACACCTAGCAGCATTTCAGTACCCCTTCAAGTATTTTCAAAACACTATTAAAATGTCACTGCAGTGCAATTATCTAGAAGATGCTTAATGCCTACCACCTAGTGGATTAGCACAGCATAACCCTTAAACACACACCAAAAAAAAAAAACCCCCCAAAAAACCAAAAAAACCCCCCACACAAACCCAAACCCCAAAACCAACCACAAAACAGAACCCCCCTGGCCCCAACACCACACCACGACTTTCCTCTGTCTGAAAGAGCAGGATCCACACAGGGCCTCCAGTGATAGAAAGTCATGAAATGCCAACCATCCAACCCCTTTTTGAATTAAGACACTAATCTGCATATCAGACTAGAACCAAAAAATAAGTGTATCAAAACATTTTTTTGAATGGCATTGAAAAATAATTCCATTAGAAATTGAGTAATTCCATGAAAATTTGAAAGCTTCAATTTATTAATGCTGCTCCAACCTTAAACAAACTTATGTGCAGCCTGTAATCTTGGTAATTTTTCATAAGAACACAATTTTATACATGTGTGGATGAATACATCTCTGGATTTGTACAGACAAGCTGTCAAACTACTGCCAAACTTCTTCCCCTCTCCACACACACTTGCACAGTCAAAATAAAAGCAAGTACTATTTCTGAAGTTAAAAAGAAGAAAAGGAATTTTTTCTAATAGCAAAGGCCAGTGACACCAGCTCGGTAATATTTCTGTGGGTAAAGTCCTCTTCAAAAGTTCTCACTGCCTCTACAGAGCCTATTTCCCCATCTACTTCCCCATCTTCTTATGTTGGGTTGACTGAGAGGGAGAGAGACTCTTCCTATAAATATATGCTTCTGTGGTGTTTAATTCTCACCTTAAAAAAAAAAAAGCTTAAAACATTTTACACTTTGCTACACTAGTCCAAACTACACAGCCACCTTAACAGAAAGGCCTAGGAAAGCATATAATCCAACCATAAAACCCACCACCACAATTTACAGGACAACTGCATTGACTTTTTAATTATAGGTTCTCTCTTTAACACCTGTCTTCTACTAAATATTCTGTGCTTAGTGAAATCTTGTTAGTCACCAAACACAGTACCATAAGAGAAAAGCTGTTGCTCAAATCCAGGATCTAGATAATGATTTCCCTAGAAATAAAACATCTAGGAGACCAGGATCACAAGTAACACTGAGAACTACAGGCGTCAGATGTACAACTTAACTTGGAAGTATTATCTAAAGCTTCATCTGCTGCTGTCGAGGTCTCCAACTATAAAATGTGTAACATTTAAGAAACACCCTCCACAGATTCTCTGTTTCAGAATCAATACTGATAAAATCAACCTCCTTACCTGTAACGTTCTTGAGCGCTCAGAGAGGGGCAGCTGATCCACTTCCAAAATTAATTCTTCCACTGCTGAATACAAGTTCTGCTGCACCTCATCCCTCTTGGTAATCAATTCATCTCTTTCATCCTACACAGAAAGAAAAGCAAGTCAGCAACTCACACCCAAACGCCACATACACAATGTGGAAAGTGATACAAAAAAGCGTTAATCCTTGCAAGTATGAATAACACAATACAGGCCTGACTAGGAATGAGTGAAAAAACAAATTTTGTTTTTAAACTCTACTCCTATGACATGACCACCTTGCACAAATACCGCATCCTTTACAGTGTAAAAATATGACATTATCAGACAACTGAAGAAACAGTTTCTGCATGACTGTTGATAACAATGGGAGTCCTAAGGGCCCCTGTAAACTTAAAATGTCCTTGTTGTCCTGCAGTTTTTGACTGTATTACAGAAATTAGAATTTGGATTATCCACACTTATATACATGCCAAATTACATCCACAAAGTCAGATTGCAAAAGATTTCTTGCTGGAGAAGAATATTCTAGAATAAAAAAAAAAAAAAACCAAAACAAAACTTTACCAATTTTTTCCTTTCCTTCTAGCAGGAAAGACAGGTGACTTGTAAACTCCCTACTGATTATCTGCAGTAAGATCATTAAACTAAAAATAATTTTCTAGAAAACAAAAACAAAGTTTCCCTTGGATGACTGGCAGGATTAGTTCTGCTAATGGGAAAGGAACCCCACATTCATAACAGACAAGGTACCTGACAGACTCACCAAACCCAAACCTCTCAAAATGGATGAAGGAAGTTAAAATCTATACTCAGAAGCACGTTTGCAGTGTTCTTTTCAGTAATTTAACTCAACATGCCAACAGAAATATGAAAATATATATGTGAACATGGAAGACCAAACTACAGCTTTACAGACCTACTGTAAATATTTGCTATTTCCTTCTACATCCATCTTCAAATATTAAAAAGTAAAATGATTGAAGGAGCTATAACACACTGTCCTGACACATGTTCCCTTCCCCACCCTGCCCCCCCATTTCCATTTAAAGAAATGGAAAACAACGGAAGAGTTAACCATCGCACTAATACCAGTTTCACATGGAGCCAAAGAGGAGTCAAATGAACACTTCCTATTAACAAGCAATATAGAATATAAATGTATCTGTAATATAAATATGTATACACAAACACAGGTTCAAGAGTGTTTTTAAATTTACATTATCCAGTGAAATCTTAGAAGTTGACTTAATCAGGAGTTTGTAAGTATCCACAGAAGATAGACTAGAAACCTTTTGCCTGTAAGACAAGGACAGAATGAGATCCCATGGTTGGAAACTGATAGGTGAACAAACTCCAACTAAAAGTAAAATCCCAAGTTGTAGCATACACTGCTTTAAAACTTACATTAGCAATTGAACAGATGTTGTCATTCAGCCAGATATTAGTGGGCTGGATAATAAAAATCAGTGGATTAAGTTCTATTATAAAAGGTGAACACAACATTAACTGCTTCAGCACTTAAAAACATGAAACAACAGCAACAAAAAGATTTTAACAGGCAGTTCTGCACTTCTTGGGCATCTTGGGTAACCAAAAGCACAGACAATTTTTACAGACTTCCTGCTGGTTTTCCGGCATGAGACAGGATTTAGTTTGTAAAAGAATACTGTAACACATGGCATAAAAAGGATTAAGGACCCCCTGTCATAAAGAACACTTTTCAAGACAAGATTTCTGCAGAATATTAGTTTAAAAACTAGAGCGATGGAGACATAATGTAGTAGAAGATTCAGCCAGGCAACCAAACTCCAATTAATACCAGGTTCAAGCAGTAGAATAAATTTAATAGTCTACACATGACTAAATGACAATCCAAGAACTCAACAGACAGCTCAGGAGCCACAGGCCAAGTCTCCTTCCAATGTCTGCCATTTAACTAGGTACATGTGACAGTTCATGGCTCAGATAATGCCTGTTAAGTAACAGTAACTTTAGAGAGCATGAAGTACACAGGCAATATTTTAATAGTCTGCTTTACAAAAACGTAAGCTCATCACAACAGCAAACAGTAGAATTAAACTCCTTTAAAACAGGCTAAACACTTCTCAAACTACAATATTTTGTTTATTTTGTGTCTGGTTCATCTTATATCTCAAAAAAAAAAAAACCAAAAAAAAAACCCCCCCCCCCCCCAAACCAAAACCAAACTACACACAACCAACCACCAGACTCGGTCATACCAAATGCCAAGCTAGCTTACCATCTTGTTTCCAATAACTATAGCAATGCTTACTAAAGTCCATAACAGCAGGATATGTATAGTGCAATCACCTCATCGATGTATTCTTGCTTTAGCGTGATTTAATGACCTCATAAGCAAGAGAAAAAAAAATTAATCCCCCTCCATGGATAAGTTCTAATCCATTTTTAGAGCTTATTTCTACTTTCAGCCCCAGTTTTTGGCTCCCTTTAGTGCAAGTTACTACTTCGCAGTATACGAAATAGCTAAAACTAGCTCTGGCATCAGCATCCTCATTAAACAGCTCTATTTATCACACCCTCCCCCACTTTTTTTTTTTTTTTAAAATGAGCAACTGAAGAGTTCTTTTTTAAACATTGGCATGATTATTTTTAAATCCTTCCCACAAAAAATGTTTTGTATGTACATTACAGTCTCCAATAAAGTAAATCTTGAGTAAGTTTCTAAATGAAAATCAGAAATTAAGCAATACATCCATAAAACACTATCTACAATGTCTGAAAAGTCAGTATTTGTATTACACCCTATCAACTATGGGTATCTACCTACATCGCAATCAGGGCAACTTCTAATTATCCCTGTTTTTTTCATCTGTAAAGCTACCATCCTCTCGGTAACTTTTCATAGGAGAGCTGGTTAAGTGATCAGCACCACTACCTTCCTATTTGGATGCTGAATTTACATGAAACTCCATGATTAGTTTTTAATATATTTTTAAGCATTTCCACTCCAGAAGAACCATCTTTGTCGTTTTCATACACACCTCATTTCACCGGTTACCTTTTATGCTTCCAAGACATACATTACACAAATACCTTATGAAGAACAAATGCTCCAGTTGCCCATCTTCGTTGTTGGGACAGTATCCAGGAGAGACCCAGTTAAGCCAGCATAAACCAACTAAGAAAGCACAGACAATGGAAACTGAAATAATGACATTTACTCTGCACTCAAACTTTATTGGGTTTACTCATGCCTGTGATATTTGTTTAAGATGCATTAGGTTTCCCCCAAAGCAAGACAAGATGTTCACTCCCAAGAGCTTACAAACAAATGAGGCTTGTGACAGCAAGAGAGGGCATCAGCACTGCAGGGAGGTTAAAGGAAGAGCACATTGCTTAGGCAACCAAATAGCAAGAATTAACTTAGTAAAACAAATTTTGGCAGCTAGGTTGACAGATTAAGCAAACAGAGTTAAACAGTCTGCTATAGTTTAATAACCAGCTATTTCATCCATCTGTTTGGGTTCACTGGGCTTCCTGTACACTGGATTTAACTGTACCTCATTTTAACTGAGCAGGAAACAAAGTTAGTGACATTAACATACTTGTTAGCCTATCTACAGTCAGTATAAGTTAAGTAGGGATGACAGGCAGAATAACAAGCACACCCTTTTACTGTGTGCATCCTGAACACTTCTTGTATTTGCAAATACAGTAGCCAAGATTCTGTGGCATGTTAACAGCACATAAAATACATCTTTAAAAATCAAAATGATTCTCAGGAAAAAAAAAGTTAAGTCACTACACTGCACACTGAAACAGGATAACCTTTGTGGTACTGTAGCTCTAGCATGATGCCACCAAAACTCTTGTTCTGTACCCTTCACCTGCCAAAGTCTTCAAAATACTTGAGACAAATTCCACAAGAGCCTTGCGATGTCCTGCTTCCAGCTGTTACCAATTCATCTTGAAAACTAAATTAATTCTTCAGGGACCTCTACACTTCCACACGCATTCCCACTTACATACCCTTTGCGGCACTCGGGCACTCTGGGGGATATGTGACATCTAGCAGAACTCCCATCTTCTTTATTTTTCCCTGTTTAATAAAATATTTGTGACACTACCATGACAAATCCTCTCTTCAGATAGCAGGAAGTTTTTTTACAGCAATGGCGTGCTCTTGAAAGTCACAAGATTTCATGCCACCGTTCATTTACACCTTAGCTTCAGCAACCAGGAACAATGTCAGAATAGGGCGGGTGGGATGGGGACGTGGGGGCTTGCTGATTTCTGAACAAAACAAGTTCTGAAGCCATGTGTGAGGCCACACCTTGCCAACATAAAACAGAGGGCTACAAAAACACATGTGGAGCTACCAGAAGCAGCATAGTGCTGTAAGCTCATTTCAGCTGTATTTCGAGTATTTTGGCAGCGTAACACGCTGCAACACATCATGAAGACGTGACTTCATTGTTAGCCATTCACAACTGAAACGGGTGACAATGTCCAAATTGTCTAACATATTCCAACAAATTAGTCCATCAGAAAAACCTCAAGCACTCTTCAAGAATTAAACCTCTTTCATATTTCTCATGGAAAAATGCTGCTTGCTGGGGCTGGCAACTCAAAACAAACAAACAAAAAAAAAAACAAAAAACCCCCACCCTAAACCTCAAACACACTGCCACCTGAATGACAGCAAAGCAACCATCTCCTCTATTGAATAACCAATTTGAGACTCACCAGTGACACCACTGTATCTGCATCTGTCCTAACTCTTGTCCACGTTGAGAGTTTTCTTTCTGTCTATCCCCAGCCCAACTAAGTCAAAGCAAAACTGGACGACTGTGGTGATGCAGGCACCTCCAGGCCACATTGGGATGTCAGGACCAGCCAACATTTTGTTCTTGTGCAGTGAGGTGGGACAACCTTGTACTTTCTTATCCTGGCTACAGTACAGTGAGTTAGGATGATTAGGCATTCCCTAACCAGACATGAAACTCCTGCCACCTGGATCATGGCCCACCTTGGAGGGTGTCAGAATTACCTGACAAGAACTATGGCCAGAACGGAAATACATTGCCCAAAGTCACCTATACATAGTGGTCCTAAGCAAGACCCTTTCAGCTCTCTGGGATCACAGCAGGCGGTGACCCAGTATCTCCCCCTAAGTTGGGACACCTCTCAGGGTAGATTTCACAAGGATTTTAAGTAGTAGATATTGTGAGGATTTCAAAGAGTAGATTTCACAAGAATTTCCAAGATTGTCTGCTAATAGATGCCAATAAAGAAGGGGTCAAAGATCATCTGCTGACAAATGTTGACAAAGGAGAATAGTGAGTAATTTGCTAGAATTTGATTTTGTGAGGTTTTTAAAAATCATTTGGTATCAATAGTTTACTATAATTGGCCAAGAGAGAAAATCTTGATTATAGGTTAACCTCTATATCTGTGTGTGCGTGTGATGTAAGAAACTCTGTAGTGCTGACAGCAAACTTTATTAAATCACTCTGATAATTGGCTGCTGATTAAGCATTGTTAAAAATCATTCTCCTACACATTACTTCCCTATACAAGATGCAATATTAAAATGTCATCTGCTTGTTAACACTTATCTTAGTGCTGCCAAGTTTAAACATTTGACTTAGTTTTTAGTAAACAAAAGAATCTCTTTTCACCTACAGCAATCAAATGTATGCCATGCTATAGATGTTTTAATACTTTTCCCTGTATGAGCAACAGAAACAGAACTTACTTGGATTCTCCTCATGGCTCATTATTTTCTAGTCCATTTCACGAGCTGTTTAATTCAGCGTAATACAGCAATACTTCTTAAGCAAAAATGTTTAAAATGTTTTAGGCTATACTTGAAAATAGTTACAAGACGTTTGCTGTCGTTCTCCCAGATGCACAACTACCATCCCTTCCCTGCCTTCCCACACACAATGCCTGCCACAGACCCGGGAACCTTCCCATTCGCAAAAGCAGCATTGCTGCACACAAGAGACGCAGTACATAACCATCCTTATCAACACAGCCATGCCTGCATACCCAGGCAGGCTTTTTCAGATCTGTGGTTGCAGAGAAGTTACACCAGATGGCAGCTTTCCCCTATACAAGTCCATCTTCCTCTACAACGGCATTTGCATACCGCTCTCCCTACACCTCCCCATGCAAGGGAAGCATATACTAAGTAGTGGCATGCTGCTTTAACAAAAGATTTTGAAGACAGACACTGCAGCTGCACAGTCGAAGTGGTTTCTAACTATTACAGAGCAGAAACCTTTTAGCTACAATGTTCTGATTTCCTTATATTTCTTTACAAAAATCAAGGGTGTCAAAAAGTCTAGGTTTAACACAAAATACTCCACAAATACATCAGTTGTGGCAAAGGTAGCAAAGCCTCTGACCTTACCTAGCAAAGGAGAGATGTTTCCATGCTGTGCTCATGCTATCCAGCTATGCTTGTAAGACTAAAATACTCTGTCAATAGCTGTTAAATTATAGCTCTTGAGAAAAAAACATAATTCCAACCTACCACATTTCTGCATAACTGAATCCTCTCTTGAGCCAAGTCATACTCTGTCCAAATCTTCTGCAATTTTTCCAAGGAACACGGAACAGTGAGACATCCTTCTGTGACCACTTTTATGGCTTCTGAGAGCTGCTCCCCAAAACAACTGTTCTTACTTGTGTGCCTAAATTGTAAGGAGGAAACAATGTTTTACCAGTATTTTTTTTTTCCAATAACTCAAGCAGTTTAAAAATCAAAGCTATTCAGACCCCTTGAACATACAAATTTTGAGATAGCACCTGCCTAATAACCTAGGTCCTTTCAAAAGGTAGCAGCAGCAATTTGTCTCATTCAGCTATTAAATCTTTTTTTTGAGGAAGGACCAAGAATACACTCATTATACCTATTAACGAGGTTGTATGTGGAAATTCTCCCCTGCTCTTAATTTCTCTTTTGTCCTATTTTCCCTCCTTGTTTTTTTGGTTTTTTTTTCACGCATCTTCCACGAACACATACACCAATATACACATTCCTTCTTAAAGGAGCTCATGGTCATTCTTATTTCAAGTCTTCCTCCCACTGCAGTTTTGTCCCTTCCTTTAAAACCAGAAGGGTAATTTGGGCTACCATAACAGATAAACCTCTCACAGCAATACAGATACCCAAGGAACTCTGACTACCCAGTTACTTTTAACAACTAGCTGCATTTACTAATTAGCATCTTCCTTGAAAACGGAATTGAAAGCTCTTCTTGCAACAGCTACGGTAAAGGAGCAGAAGTGAATTGAAGTCATCTGATAAACAATGAGAAGCATACAACAGAAATTCCAGTGTGAGCTTCCAAAAAGCTCAGGTTTCACCCTTCCTTTTGGGCAGTACTCCCCTCTGTATACAACACTACATTTTTCTTATGTCGTGGTTTAACCCCAGCCAGCAACTAAGCACCATGCAGCCGCTCACTCACTCACTCCCCACCCAGTGGGATGCGGGAGAAAATCGGGGGGAAAAAAAAAAGTAAAACCCGTGGGTTGAGATAAGAAGGGTTCAGTAGAACAGAAAAAGAAGAAATCAACAATGACAATGATAACACCAATAAAATGACAACAGTGGCAATAAAAGGACTGGAATGTACAAATGATGCACAGGGCAACTGTTCACCACCTGCTGACCGACACCCAGTTAGTCCCCGAGCGGCGATCCTCCCGATCCCACTCCCCCCAGTTCCTATACTAAATGGGACGTCACATGGTATGGAATACCCCTTTGGCCACTTTGGGTCAGCTGCCCTGGCTGTGTCCTGTGCCAACTTCTTGTGCCCCTCCAGCTCTCTTGCTGGCTGGGCATGAGAAGCTGAAAAATCCTTGACTTCAGACTAAACACTACTTAGAAACAACTGAAAACATCAGTGTTATCAACATTCTTCTCATACTGAACTCAAAACATAGCACTGTACCAGCTACTAGGAAGACAGTTAACTCTATCCTAGCTGAAACCAGGACATCTTAGAAAATTAACAAAACAAAACTTTTGAGAAAAAAGCATGCAAGACTTCAAGAGATAAGCAGGGCAATGATAAACAGTACTATTTTAGAAAAAATATACATACCTGACTTCTTTCAATGCCTTCACCTTAACAGCCAAACTTCTCATTTTTGTTCCAATATACGTACGCAGGGTTTCCTCAAAACTTTCAGCAGTTTTCCTGGATGCTTCCTTCTCTCTCTGAATTATTTATCGTTTTTAGAGCAGTGTTTCAACAAACAGAGATAAAGATAGATCAACAGTCAGCCGGGTTACTAACATGCAGACCACAATTTAGACTTTTGAAAATTAGAGATAAATACACACATATGCGTGTACACACACAGAGCTGGCCCTCCTAAAAACACTAACAAAATGCCTAGAAAGACATACAAACCACTGAGAACAATTTTCTTTTCTTTAATAGCCTCTTAAAGGTAAATGGTTCATTTACTTCCTCTCATTTCAGTAGTGATGTGTGCAAGTGTATTTCTTCAATTACTCCCTATTTGCTAGCAAGTCTTCAGACAATATGGAATTTTTTCTTCCCTTGCTAAAGAACTCCTACCCATTAGTTCACGGAAATCAAGTCCAGGACCTCACTAAACTCCTTACTCCCACCACTACAACACCTCAGAGTGGTGCAGCAAAACAAGAACTCTCGCCGTACATACAACCACCCTGACCTTCCTACAAGGAATATTCTTAAGACAAAATAAGGAATATTCTTGACCCCAAAAAAGCCCACAGACCACATCAGGCTATATCCCTCGAGAGGCAACCTAAATTTAAAAGCTCCTGCTCTCATACCACAGAGATGCTTTTATAAACTCCACCTTAGGTAATGAAACACAGCCTTTAAACGTTGTTAGCCTTTCAGACTCATTACATATTATATTAAAAAAACAAAAACACCAACAAACAAACAAACAAAAAAACCAGAAGGATTTAAATAATTTTGTATTTGCAGATAAGCATCCAAAGTCTCATGACTGCAGGGTGTTTTGGGTTTTTTTTAAGTGCCTCTTAAAGCCACCACCACACATCACCCTTCTAAAACAAATCATTGCCTACCATAGTGTTTTGAGCAGGGAGCAAGTATTTTCTTACTTAAAAGAATATCCACAACCTTTTAAAGCAGTTTACTTGCATTCAACACAAAACAGTAATTAAAATTTGTAGAAATCAGTTTTTTAAAAAAAAATCATCAGACTATATGTAAGAAATGCTTCTAGGAATTCCTTGCATTCAAGTATTTTTTCTGAGCTGCAGACATGTATTCTGTTGCTTGTTAATTTAGTTTGCATAGAAATGCACAAACATCGTATCTTCAGTGGACAGAGAATCTGTGCAGTGACAGGTTAGTATATGTAGAAACACAGCTGTTCTAGGTAGAGGTAACCAAGTAGCAAAGCTGGTTATGAGTAGTTTTATTCTGCAAGAGAGAAAAAGTAAACAGCTGTTTGCAAGTTCAGGTTTGGGCGTGTCAAAGGGTTATACACAACAGCAGATTTTCCTTTCGTATCTGTAGAGAGAAGAGTTTGCCCAACATTTTTCTAAGTTCATGGAAACATAACAATCTTTCACACAATCTCTTCTTACTACTGCTGTTTATCACACTTAAAAACTTTCACAGCATTTTTAAGTCTATCAGTAACTATTACTAGGTACTGTGCTTCTCAGATAGTGCTAGGAACTTCCCCTGGAAAGAAACATAAGCACCTTTTCTATTAGGCAGCAATTAAGGAAATAATAATTTTTATCCAGTTCTAAAATTCCACAGCTGCTATGATTCTGTGAAGCTTAGGAATTTTCAGCCCAACACACAAAAAGCTCTTTTTCCCCCTCTAAGTGAGTGAAAAAAAGGCAAGGATTACATCCTTATACACGAAGCATGTTCTTAAATCACAAAGTGTAAAACTCCATGTTCAAACTGAACACCTGCAACCAAACCAGCAGTTGCATCAAGCACTACGGCAAGCCAGTATGTACACCAAGGGGAGCTAGGGTCCAACCTGGACTACAAACGTGTGCTAGCACACATTGACAGCATCTCCCTGCATCAGGGCAAGAGAAGTCTTCACGCAACCAGATAAATCCTGCTGTATTCCAAACAACAGTGCACAGCTGAACTGGAGTACAATGAAACCATAAGACAGAAGCATTGTCAGAAACATTTGCAACAAGGAGAGAAGCATCCTCTTCGCATTTCCACATACCTGAAGTTCACATTTCAGCTGTTGAACCTTCAGTTCTAGTTCTTTCTGCCTCTGCAAGAGATTTACATTCTCCCTTCTGAGAACTTCTTTCTCTTCAGACAGCTTCTGATCTGGTCTTATATCTGCCAAGCTGGTGTCTGACACTGAGGTAGAAGCTAGCATTTTTTCCCTTTTCAAAATGAATTAAGAGGAATTAATTTTAAAAAAAAAAACAAACACAAAAACACCCACAACATGTATTCTTTCATGCTATTGTAATTTCAGTAATGACTACAGACCACCACATCAAAAAGACTATAGAAGCACCTACAGAATCATGCTTTGCTTCTTCAGAATTTGTATCCTTCTCCACACCAGTCTTTACAAGACTGTTACACAACACTATGGAAAAAAATACATCATTTGAAGACAACCTTTTATATGTTTTCATAGTCACTAACTCAAAAGTCTTTCCCATCCAAAAAACATCTTACAATACCACACTGCAGACCCAGAAAAGTCAAGGTCTGTTGTAATTCGTCTTCTACCTACTAAATAAGCCAAAGCGCTTTAACATTAGTGTTTTGGATCTACACCCTAAAAGTTATTTTTATAACCAAGAGTAGTAATGCGAAGTTATCGGTCTCGGAGTACTGTGACAGTACTGTACAGCACCAAAGCTCCACTAGACCTTACATCAAATTCATCCTCAGCTGCATGGCTTTGGTTACAGCCTAGCTTCTTTCTTTCTCGATTTCCTTCGCAGGCATACCACCCCAAAAATGCCTGCAACATGCAAAAAGTTAAAGGACGCCAGAACATACAGAAATAGAATAGTGAATCTGCTGGCTGCTCAGGCCAGTCAGGATAGCGTTGTACACAAAATATCTCAATGCTGCACACCACCAAAAAAAAAAAAAAAGCTATTTCTTTTTTTAAATTAGATTCAGAGCGTATCTGTAACTCAGAAAACAGGGCAGATGAGACTATCAAAATAATTCAGGATGAGGCACTTTACTATAAATTTAGACTTTTTTGAAGAGCACTTCATTTCATCTTAGTATTTGTTAACAGCTTAGACTTGCCTAAATGATCTAACTGTAAAACAGATTTGGATACCATGCCAGTATGTGGAAGGGTGTGCCCTTAGGTGAGTCATTGAAACACTGGAGAAGCTCAAATTATGGAACATTAGCAAACCCTAAACAAGTTTTTTTGGAGAACATTACTTCTTACACCATCTCAACTTTCTGAATGCCAAGTACCACCTTTCCCACCCACAAACATTTTTCTCAGCAGCCTGTTACCATGGCAATCCTAGAAACTGTAGGACAAGTCTCTTTAAAAAGATTTCTGACAACAACTGTAACCGCCAGCTTACCATCACCACTTGTCAATGTAATTACAAGCTGCAGAAACACCATTATCCCCCAAAGCTTACTTCAAACAGTGATTGCTGGCTTTATTTCTTATAAGCACATTGTTACATTCCTAAACAAATAAATCAGCAAAGTATGTTTGTCCTGCTAGGCAAGTGTACTTTTACATTCCACATCTGTGTCCAGTGAGTTTTTAATAGAGGTACGAAAAGTCTTAAGCACAAGCCTATGGAAATTACACAGATGCTAAAACAAACATCGTTGCATTGCCTATCACTGCAAAATCTGCTAGCGGCCCAGTGTCCCACAACCTCTGCTTTCAGCTAAGCTTTCTGCTATCTTCTCCTCTGCTTACTAGCTGCTACCCCTTTCTTCTTTTTCAAAATCTTGCATTAAGATACATAAGAACAGTTTGTCTCTGGAAATCAAATGAGGAAGAACAGGATATCAAACTAGCAACAACAGTAATGAACAGTTTTCTACATACTACTGTCCCAATTCCCACCACCACAGCACGCGCACGCTTCCCTTCCATTGAGTACCAGTATTACTTGCTGCTGGAAAGACAGAAATTGAACCTTGTATTTTAGATACTCACTTCCCCCTCCACCTTTTCATAAGCCCACATCCCAACTAAGCTAATCAGATCATTCATACAAAGTCTTCTATGACATCCCACTGCCTTACTTTGGGGCAAACATACGGTTTCCAGTAAAATTCCGATTCCTTGTGCTGGCAGCTACTTGGTCAAAGTACCCTCTTGATGCACTGTACAGTGTGTGACCAGACCTGTTTATCAACAATGGAACTGTAAGTTTTATCTTCCGACGCTGGTTTTCAACGACATCTGTTTTTTTCTCTTCCGCATCTTTAGTGTTTCCTGGAGATGTGCATTTTGCAGCAAACCCTGCCTTGGCCACCTCTTCCCCAATATCTATTTTTTCACATTCTGCCTGGGCAATAATGGTACCATCTTTGTGCTTGGCTTTGTGACGTATTTTTATTTCTTTTTCAAAAACTAGGCTGCTCAAGAACTTCTTTCCCTGTAAAAAAAAAAATACAATAAAGTTGTGTACTGCACACTCTGAATACTTTTGGCTGAAATCATCCATCTTTCTTTTAAGAAAAAGAGGACATGTTTAATACCAAAACCCAAAGAGCTGCACAGGTAAAGCCTATGTTTAACGCATTTATTCTGAAACAATGCTGCATCTGTACAGCTACAACTGTACCTGATCTAATCATTGTCAATGCCAGACTGGACTTCCAACACCAACAGTTCTCCCTCTATGTTCAGCTTTGAAGAATTCAGTATCATTTATAAGTGACATAAGTTCCAAGTCCCATCAACTCTCAATAGAAGCTGGCAATGAGGTTATCCAAGTCTTTTAGAAGATACTAGACCAACTATTTAACAGTATTATACAAAACAGTATGAAAAAAATATTCTGGTTCTTACATTTTTTAACAGCCTTTCAGTAAGTGGTCCAGAAGTTGAAATAGAGCATAGCGACAAATTAGAATGCATATGTATCTACCTTACTGAAACTACTCATTTAGAAAGTGGAAAATGCCAAAATTGGCAGCTATCAGTTTAATCAGTAATATCAAGGAAAAACAGCTTTGAAAGACTGGGGAATGCACTCAAGACCTTCACAAGACATCTGGGAGGAAGTTATCTTTTATTAACAGGGTTTTTTTTCTTTTTGCCCCACCACTTCTGAAACAACCTGGTTTTGCTGAAAATTAAGAACAGAGGGGGTGGGGGCAGAAAAGCTACACAGAGCAAGCAAATAAAGCTTTAGCTCAAGGAACAAGAACTGTTAAAAAAAAACAAAACAAAACAAAAAAAAAACCCCACACCACCACACAAACAAAACCCCATGGAATTGAGAAGAGAGATTTTCATCTGTCTTAAGTGATCACATTAAGCAATGTCACTAGGACCCCAGGGATGAGACCATACACAAGGGGTCTCAGGATCTCCTCTAAACGATAGAGGGATACAACAAGGCAAGCAGGACAGCCACCTCCTGCCTCCTCCTCCTCCTCCAGCAACTGCTGCTCCCAAGCCACCGGCTGGAGAAGCACAGGCAGTGCCAGGGACAAGCCTTGAAGAAGCCTGCCGTTAAGACTGTAATTGGTATCCCAGAAAGGGAGACCCCCACTAGTAAAACTCAATCAAGGGTCACCAGTGCCACTCAGAAGGGCTCAAAGATTTTACCAGTCCTGTTGGCATCAGCTCCTGAGCTTTTTGCCTTCATTGCTGGCCAGGGACGAGAGGGTTCCTACTACCACTCACATTCACCTGACATTCTCTCTCTCCTCACCAGAAGTTTGTACAGCAGCCAGGCACACGGTGTTCAAGCAGCTCACAGATGTAAGTGAATTTATTGCAGTTTCTGTGACCAAGGGAGGTATTTTTCCCTCTGAAGGGAAAGAAACAGAAGTACTTTGCTTCCTCAGTGCTAGAACAAACTCAGGTCAGTCAGAAATAGGCCTGAGGCTCTGAAGATGGCAAAAGCATACTCTAAAAATCACCCCCCAGCATAACCTGAACCATTTTTGACAAAACCATTTTAGTTTCTAGGGTATGTTCAGGGTAAGAGATCAGACACTCCTTCCCAGCATGCCCTGCCTTCACAGTTAAACATCCAGCTCTTAAAATACTCCTCCTGGTGACACTGTGCTGATACTTGGCAGCACCTGTTACAGATCGCATCATCTAAATGCTTCAAAATCTGCTACTCACCTGGTCAAACATGTTTAAGTTCTGATGAGTTGGTATCTGCAGTCCCCAGAGCGCGTATTTCTTGGCAACACTCGGACATTGCAAGTTTGGTGGAATTTCAACTATGTCTGATCTATTCAGAACCTCAGAATTTCCATAGTCAATGTACAATACCTGACACTGCAACAATAATATAAATCAGCAGAGGTTGCACAAACCTCCCACAGAAATATGCACTGACAGCTACTAGAATATAAGCATTTTAACACATATGCATGTTGCAGAGATCAGAATCTTCCGTACTAAGCCTAGACACCCTTCAGAGGAAGGAACGGAGTTAGAGAAATCTCTTAAGTTGGCACCTGTCTAGAAGCTTAGCGACAACACAAAACAGATCTTTGCTGGTAATTTTGTTTTTCTCTAAAGGCTATGACTAAGAAGCAATACAGAAGACTTTCTGCAATGGACATACAGGCAATCTAATGTTTTCAAGTCAACCAGTCTGTTTCGAAATTATAGTTTTAAATAGGAATTATTAGCCTTCTGTATCAGTCACTGAATGCTGATTAACAACTCTTTGAGGTCATTTGCATCACTGCTAACATGTCACATGAAGGCTGCCATTTTCACCACTCAGAAGTTTTGAAATTAAATTACATTGCTTAACAACATTAACTACCACTCACTGTATCTCTTGATAAAGAGATTCAACTGCACTTCGCAAGTATATCATGTTTTGCCAGTATTTTCATCAGCATTTTCCAAAATTACAGGTCACTTGGAAGTCATGTCCCACATGTTAATTTCACTGGTTTTAAATGCATTCACACAGAAAGTTTCGAAAAGAGGAGGAGTTGCATTTATTTCTATCATCCTGCAGGTAGAACTGATATGATTCATGACTCAAAAAAAAAAAAAAAAAGTTCCTGCCTTTTCGTTGTTGATCACTCGCTGTACCATACATCTGTACCAACATCCATCTTCAGAAAAACACCCACCATAAATCTGGAAATTAGGAAAAAAAGATCAAGAACAGCATTCTGAAAATATAAGCATACCTCAAAATGGTTATTTGTAATACATTACAAATCTTATTTTCACACTCTCCTATAATTATCCCAACAGCGGTATGAAAACAAAGTAATGCATTTGATATCCTATCTCTCTTAACAATATATGCTAGATGCTTGAAAAACATAATCCTCTACTCCAAAAACAAGAGCTCAAAGAAAATTTTGCAACTAGAAAAACACCAACATCTTACACACCAGACTCCCATGGCTTTTCTGTTAATGTATTGCTACAATATTTTATTGACACTGATGGCTTAGTAAGCCCAACAAAGGAAGAAGCCAGTCACACCACAAACATGCTGGGTTTGCTCTTGGTGCATTTTCTTCCTTTCCAAGAGGAATGTAGAAGGTCCTGCACACACAAACAGTTCAAACAAATTGTTTTATTTAAAACTTACTTTGCAATAAGCTATCAGTAGTTGACACACAAAAAACAAAAGTTGCCATCGCTCTCTGTATGCTTCTCACAGAACTGCTATTAAACATGTCCTTGTTAAGAGTACTCTTAAGAGTACTTTGTCCAGCACGTTTAACATTACAGGTTTTTTTAAGATCTTCCACACTGCTTGAGAAGGAACAAAGAATCACTTCTCTGAAAAAGCGTTGCTCTCTTGCTAAAGACAACCCATAATGTATACTGGACAACAAAAGAGAATTCAGCATTCTGTGTATTACCTTCTTGTAGTATTTCCCGAGTGTTAAAAAAACAACTATAGTTGCATCATTTAGCTTAAGTCTGAAGTGCAGAAAGATTTAAACTTGCTCACACAAAATAAGTGTTTTCTTTAGGAAAGCCAGCAGTTCTTAAATAGGTCTTAACAGAATATAACCCACAGCATAATCAAAGATCAAGAAAATACCTAAGAAAATGGTTGCACAGAATTAAGGCTTTTACATCTAGGTGAAAAACAAACTCCACATACACACAACCTACTTACCTTACTAAAATCAGGTGTGCCAAAAACTGCATTAGCCCGAGGACAAGCTTCTGCCAGCGCACAACTTAATTTCAAGAGGTCATTACATCTACTGACATTCTAAGTGTGGAGAGAGGGTATGAGTTATTAACTGTCAGTTTTAATAGATACTTGATGGCTTTTAACAGCCAAAAATTAAATCAAAACAGTTGACTGCTATTGAGCCAAGTAATGCCCCACCTTAAGCTTTCAATCTTCATGATTTTAGTTGCATTTATAAGCTGCTCCCATTTTCTTCCAAAAATTAATGAAATGGATCAGGGGCAGGTAAGGTACCCCAGAAAAATAGTTCGCAACTAACGTTTCTAACAGTTAATTACCGGCTTCTGCAATCAGTATGCAGATCTTACTTATCAATACTTCCTCACAAATTTTAGTACGTATTTGGTGTTCTTTTTCTTTCTCTCCTTAATACAAGGAGACAACAGCTCTGGCATACCCCTCGCTCTCTGTACATGCAAGACTTGGGTTTTGGTTTGGCTGAGAGAAGCAGTGTCCTTCCAGTTACAACTTGGTATCTGAACCACTGTAAGACTGGGTCAATTCCAGTAACATAGCATTTATTAGACAACATTCTACTCATAATTCAAACGAAAGGATCCAGAACTTAGAGCAGGAAAGAAAACACTAGTGCAACTAAACATTTTGTTAACTTTAGAAGTACACTCCTAACTTTTTGTACCTTACAATATTAAACAAAACACCGTGACTGAGTGTCAGAATGCCAGGGTAAGAACATAAAGGAGAATTACCTATGACTATTACATCTAAAAATCCCTTTATCAGAAGAAGCTATTCCATAAACAGAATGAATAAAGTCTAGTCCCCCACCCCAGATTCCTATTAGGGACATGACAACCAGCATTACCACCTCCAACTGGCTCAAAACTACACACGTGTTGACTAATATGCACACACCAATTAGCCCACAGACCAAACAGAAAAGGCAAGCTTTGGTACTCTTGATTTTCCCCTCTCCCTGCTGCACCCCCCACATTAGTGAAAACTATTCATTGTTTTGTTTTTTTTACTTTTCCTCAGTCCTCCTGTCCAACATCCTCCTGCCCATCTACACATAACTTTAAAGGACCTAGCGTCTTTGAACCATCTCCATGTCAAGTTTCATTAAAACTGCCCCAAATGCTCAGCTGTTAGAGTAGGGGATCCTGCTCCTGCAGGGCTCCACCTGCCTTCTACAGTATTCTTCAGTCAACAGCAAATATTTTAAGCCTAATTTTTTTTTTTTTTTGGCCTACCAAATATTCAAGAAAACCCAGCTACAATTCAAATGGATGGATGAACAATTCTTCTTGACATTTCAGAAAAGAATAACTGATTTCAGTTTAAAAGGGAATAATAATACTTGCAATTCTGAAATCCAAATTAACTATTTTCCCCCAGCATCAACTCCTATCATTTATTCTTACTTCTACAGAAATCTGGAGGGTGGGGGGGAGGAAGAAAAGATTAAACATCTCAGTTAAAATCAAATAGTTCTCTGAATTCACCTGTGCCCAAAACGTTACAGCATCTTCAACGTGGCAGCCCACAACATCCTCAACTTGAGGGGAAAGAAAAGGAAAAAAAGATTTAAATTATTCTCAGATGCGACGTAAATTAAGATTATGGGTTGTATGGTCATTATTTTTTTGTTAAACCACCTCGCGTTACCTTTGCCATAGTCCGTGTCTCCATCCATGACAACAGATTCTGAAACATTACAAGATATCTACGGTTAAAGGAGAAATTAAGGTTTTCTTCCAGAGGCCTGTGGCGCGGGGAGGCACACGCACCCACCTCGCGGGCCCACGCGACTTCTCCCTGCCCCGAACACAAGACAGGTTCACTGCTTCGTGGGCTCCTGCCCTCCTACCGCCTCACCCCCAAGCTTCTCCTCAGCCCTTCTCGCGCCAACGGAGAGGCACCCGTTTCTCAAGCGAAAAATGCTTTTTTACGCGAAGACGCGCCGTAAGGGCTGGCACGGCCGCGACTTCCCGCCAGCGGAGCGGGGTCCCCTCCTCACCGCGCAGCCCCGCGCCCCTGGGCACCCCCGGCAGCGAGGGCCGGGCGCCGGCCTCCCCGC